TTGTTTTGTTCTAGGGCAAGGAGTGTGCCTCAGTATTTATGTTCAGTGAAACCGATTGCCACATCTTGCAGAGTCCTTTTGGGGGCCCTTATTCTGCCTTTCCTCCAAAAACCTCTAATTACTTTTAATGGAATTTAAGTGACCAGATCTACAGGAAACTAGTTCTTGGCATGTTTGTGAAACAGCTTATCTATTGAATACTCTCTTTTGCTATTATTTAATAGATCATTCAACACCAGCCAGCCAGTCTCCTCATTCCTCTAACCCAAGCAGCTTGCCAAGCTCCCCTCCAACACACAACCATAATTCTGTTCCATTCTCCAATTTTGGACCCATTGGGGCTCCAGATAACAGGGATAGGAGAGCTGCAGATCGGTGGAAAACTGATAAGCCAGGTGAGACCCAAACTTGACAAAATTAAAATAACTTAACTCTGTCTTTCCCTGGTTTTCTGCATTTGGCAGTGATAAAACGTTTTCTTGAATTCTTATCTCTTTTCATCCCGTAGCCATGGGTGGGTTTGGCATTGATTATCTCTCAGCAACATCATCCTCTGAGAGCGGCTGGCAGCAGACCAGCACTCCAGGCGGCACCTGGACAGGCCACGGCCCCTCTGTGGAGGACTCCTCTGCTGTCCTCATGGAGAGCCTGAAGGTGAGTGGATTTCAGGACTAAGAACCACAACCAATGGTGCTGGTTTCATTCTCATAAATAGCTAGGTTATTCCTAAGACCCCTACACCTGATTAATAGCTCATAGCTAGCAGCGTTCTGGAAACATGGCCTGCCTCATGAGGTTCTTGAATGGGCTTTTTGTTTTTAATTTGTGAATTCACTAGTGACAAAGCATTATCTTCAGGGGTAGAAACACAAAGGTCCTAGTTGCATTATAAGTTTAAGAACGTTCTGATTCATTTTGGAATGTTTGATTTAAGCCTGAACAAGTAAAAGAATAGCACCTAACAGTAAAATACTCTGTGGTCACACATGGAACTGAGTTTAGTAAAAGACTTCATCTCAAACGTACTTTCACCTTTTTTGGTCTAAAACAATCTTAGCAGGAGCTATCTTAAAGACAGACTTTTCTAATAGCTGCATTTTTTTAGGCGGTGGGGATCTTGGGACATTGTGCCTTTATGTTTGGTTGGGATTGAAAACCAGTCCTTTCAGACAACCAGGTCCTGTGAGCTCTGCTGACAAGCTCTGTGCTGTCTTTCAGTCCATCTGGTCCAGTTCCATGATGCACCCTGGCCCGTCCGCTCTGGAGCAGCTGTTGATGCAGCAAAAACAGAAGCAGCAGCGGGGACAAGGCACCATGAACCCTCCACACTGAGGATGGGGTGGCAACCTGGCAACGAGGCTCCATACACCATGGCATGTTGGGTTTGCAGGACTGGCCCAAGCCCCTGCAGGTGGCAGCCCTCTTCTCTGTGTCTTGCCGTTGAGAGGGTGTAAGTGTTCCACCGGCCCGCTGAGTGTGCACGAAATGTCCGCAGTGCAACCAAAAGAAACCATCAGGAACTCTCCGTCCCCCCGGGCCTCCGGAGGGAGAGAGGAACTGCTGTTTGTCTCACTCGGTTACCTGATAGCACCGCCTCTCGCCTTCTCCATCGTGCATGTCCCCAGCCACATGGGAAGTGAAAGCTGAGAAGGGAAGGCAGGTGGGAGAAGCCAGAGGGAACTTCTCAGTCCTTTTTCCCTCTTTGGGGAATAAAATAGGAATCCATTAATGATTGCTTTGCTGACTGAGAATGTAGTTGAGATTATTCCTAAACATCTTTTATTATTGTTATATTCTCAGTAGTGAAAAAAGTCACACTGAATTCTTCCATACACAGATGTGCTGCTTTAGGTCAGTGTGCAGCAAGGAAAGCCCCGTTCACTGCTCCTTGAGAGGTTGGTGGTGACAAGAGGGGGAGGCGGACCTCTTCGGCCAGTGGCAGTGTTCCATAGGGAGAGGACAAGGCCTCGCCTTCGCTCAGAAGGTTCCAGTAGGCCCTCTCTGGCCCGGAGACTCCAGCAGGAAATGCCCTTCACTCTGTAGGTGCTCGAGCCCCACTCGAGGGTGCAGTGTGGGTGGTGCTGGGCTGGACCAGCAGGTGGCTGCTGTAGGGTTTAAATGGACGTTTTTGATTCCTGTACATTTTGCAGTAGCAGAGCAAGCAGTCTCCCAGAAGGCGGGCTAGTCCATTCATGGCCTGGTGTTACTAGGTAGAAGCTTTCAGTGTGGTTATTTTTTGTTTGGTTGGTTTTTGTGCCCCTATCCTATCTACTCCCTCCACTCCCTCCCATCCTTTCTCCATCCCTTTTCTACCCTATGCTATATGCTAGTCGTTGTTTTTATTCCTTATGTGTACAACATCGAAACAAGAAGCAACAGCATGGGGTCCAGCAGCCGGGGCCCAAAAAGACAGTCTGAAGAGGAAGGAGTGGCGTGGCTGTGTAGCCCAGCGGGGCCAGGCCCCCCACCAGCTGCAATCCCCCAGCCTCCACCTTCAGAGTGAAACTCGCAACATGGACACATGTGCATCATGCACAGAAGAAAACACAACGAAGTCCATTCTGGAAGAGGTGGAAGAAAGGAAAATGAGCTTTTATTTGATATTTATTAGCAGGAACGAGGACTGAAAATTTTCTTGGGTAGAAACAAAAGGACAGCATTTCTGTTAGTCGTTTCCTGGAAAAGTAATATTTTAAGGGGAAATTATGGAAACAATCTAAATGTCCGATTGCTGTGCTAGTGGTAGGGTTTATTTTCCAGGAGGTCTCTCCTTTGTGCACGTGTGTGTGTGTGTGCACGCACACGCCCACCTGCTCTCGGAGGGGTGGTGGTGTGTGGTTAGTGTGGAACTTCAGAGCTGGAAGGTGGCTACAGAGCAAAGCACATCCGGAGCCCGGCATCACTGGAGTGTGGGCAGCCCCAGCAGTGAAAGGGGCAGGGCATAAGGCTCATTGCTCTTCAGAGAGAGTGGTTGGAGTCCGTGTGCTTACATTATTGCTCTCTCAGTTTGACACGGTGTTTGGGGGGTTTTTTTGTGTTTTTTTCTTTTTCTTTTTTTTTTTTTTTAGAAGGTCTGGAAGGGTGAAGTTCCCCCTCCCCCAATCCAATGGCAATATGAAACCCTTTGTGCTTCTCTCATGCCCCTTCCTGTGTCCACTTTTTCCTGCCCCTCCCTCCCAAGTCTCCTCCCTGCTGCCTTTCCCTACTCTGTGTGTTTGAGCCCCACATTCAGGCAGCTGCAACATTCCAGTGTGTGAACTGTCACCCATTCTGGCACCCTAGACCAGCTCATCAGGTTCACCGTCGCTCCCAGGAGGGTCCACGTCCCCTCTGCAGCCCCATTTCTGCATGAGCATTTGGTGTTTGGAATGTTTTCTGATATTCGGGCGGGTTCCTTGCCTTATCCTCTATGTGGAGTAATAAGGAGGGAGAGGAGAATCTTCATCAGAAACTGGTTTTGTGTAGTAAACCTTCTTTTGTGTTTTGTTTTGTTTTGATTTTTTTGTTTTTGTTTAGGTCTGTCTGTGCAAGACCTGCAGCTGCTAAAATCAGCTTTGCCTTTAATTAAACCATGTTCTCTCCAACCAGATCTGTGTACAGATGGTTTCTTTTCTACCCTAAAATCAAGACTTGGGAACTACTCGGAAGTCACCTAGAGGAAAGCAGAGGTGGTCAGAAATTGGATATGCTTCAGGGTTACTTTTGCTTTTATCGATAGTAGCTTTCCAAAGCAGCATGCATTAGTATGAAAAGGGGTGGGTAGAAAGAACTATCAAATTATTTTGTTTAATAAACTAGAGGCCCCGTGCACTGCACTCTCTCCAATCTGGGACCTCTCCCTTGCAGGCCTGGTTCCTCCCAACTACCCTCCCCTGCTGGCCATCTTGTGTCCATATGGGGGCAGGATCTTTGACCACACGGGAGCAGCCATCTTGTGTGTTGGAGTTATGGTCAATCTGCATATTCTTTTATTAGATAGGATAGAGGCCTGGTGCATGGGTGGGGGTCAGTTGGTTCGACCTGAAGGGTGTTCTGAATCAGGGTGGGGGTTCCCTTCGGGCGTGGGGCGGACTGAGCAAGGGGCCTATGGTGTTTTGTAGGCCAACCACACCCTCCTGGCGACCCAAGGGGAGGCCCTGGTATCTGGGGTTTGTTTTATCTTCTACAATTGACACTAGCCTGGAGCGAACCAAGCCTCCTGCTCTCTGGCCATAGCCATCTTGGTTGGGGTTAATTTGCATACTTGCTCTTAGTAACTGGTGGGTGTAGAGGAGTGATGGTTAATTTGCAGATTACTCTTTTAGCTAGGATAAAGAATCCTTTTTCAAAGGAATTAACACATCCACCAGTTTTATCCCTAGTTTCTCTGTTAGTGAGGCAATTCAGAGAAAGCTTATCATTTGGGCCTATAAAATTCACTAAATCTGGATTGGCAGCAACAGTAATTAATAATTATTCTTAGCTGTGGGGTTGCATTTCTTCAAGTTGTGTCCAAAATGTCCATTGGCAGCCTGCTTGGCCTTCCGCCTAGGTGTTGATTCTGTCTGTACCTCACCTACACACCTGAAAAATTATTAACAGGGCCTTTTAAGAAGAAAGAAGTTGATTAAGGCCAGGCCTAGTATCTGTGGAATCCTTCTTCCAAGTTAACCCTGAAAAACAGGCCACTGGGTTACATGATAACCAAGGTAAGGCCACAGCAATTCTATTGTACGGATTGTGAAATGTTAACGAATAGGATACTGTTAACCAATTGACTGCCTGAACACGGCTTCCTTTCTTAAGTCTTAGTGGCAAAATTTCCCATTAAGCTCTTGAGTGTTTGTGAGAAGACGTGAAGGGATGTAATTCTAGTCATTCCATGGGAACCTCACTCAGTCTAGCAACAAGACTTAAAAGTTAACTTGTGTGTGCGTGCCTCCTGAATTACCTGTAGGTTAGGCCCCAGTAGTCTGATGGTAAACAGGAATAGTCAATTACAGTTAGGCCTTAAGCCTGCATTCTGAGTGTCTTAGGTTTTTATTTCTATCACACATACAGAGAAGTGCACCAATAATAACTGCAACTCAGTGCGTTTTTCATAAAGTGAACACATCTGGGTAGCCAGTACTCTGAGCAAAAAAATCAGCACCTGGGATGCCACCTCATGCCCTTCCAGACACTTCCAACCCCCCTCACTCCCCCCGGGTGTTCATAATCCTAAATTCTCACATCATTGTCTAACAGGTTACATCTTAACAGGGGAAAGTAGATTAGTTGACATTATACCATGTACCACAGAGGCATCTGAAACCTTACAAATGCGATGGTAGTTTTTCCTTCCACTCCGTAGTTGTGAGGCATCCTAGACTGCCCTGGGAGTGCCCTCCAGGTCTGTGGCTGCACGTTCTTCAACAAAAGCCTTGGGGAAAATGCCAAACTTCCCTCTGCACTCCCCTTCCAGCCACTCGTCGTTCACTGGTGAAGGGAAAGCAGAGACCTATTTCTAAAACCAGTACAGGAAAAGGACCTCGCTTACTGCCGTTTAAGAAGCACTAAGAACACTTTACATTTCCGTCTTTAATGTGTTTGATTCCTTGCAGAATTAGGGAAGCCACCAGGGAGGGACACAGAGTAATTCTGAATAGCTGCTAGTAAGACAAAATTGATCCCCTTCCACTCTCATCTTCGAAAGTAGTACATACATCCAAAGAACTATGGTTTGCAGAAATTGGGCATCTTATGGCTTGGTGCAAAGGCAAAATGCCCGCAACCTTCTAATCGGTTAACTCTGGGAATGATGATCCGTGGCTTCTGAAGCGTAGGCATCTGTAAGTGTGAATGGACTGAGTGTCATTTACTAGTCAGTTGCCATTTGTTGCTTCCCTGCCCCTTAGGGCAACAAACGGAGAAGCTGAGTGCTGGGTTTTGCTCTCTCCAGCTGAGGGCGAAGAAGGAGATTGAGACCACTGGCTCAAGTTCCGTTTGTAGGTTAGTGATGTATTCTACCTCTGCCCCTAAATTGACTTCTGCTAACATGGAAATTCATTTCTGTCATTCAGGAGTAGCACTTACCCTTGGACAGAACCTGGATGACGTCCCCTTCCAGAAACTCCAGGTCTTCTGGTTGGGTAGCCTCGTAACTGAAGATTGCTACCACTTGGCTCCCTTCCTTCAGCTGTGGTTCTGATGTCTGGCTATTGGCATCCGATTTCTCACTTTCCTTGGGTTCATCTGGAAAGCCTTGGTCACCCTGAAATAATAAAGGGCCTGTGAGTTTTCCTAACTTCCTGCGCAGTGAACATCATCCCTGAAATACTCAGCCAGAGAAATGTCAGTAGCACCTGGATACAAACTCAGCAGCAGATTTGGGATCAGTGTCTAGCATAGACCTTACGTACTCTATGAATACTGGCCAGTTGGATAAATGAAACAAGGTCTGCAGGACCACAGATAGTTGTAAAAATCTTACCTAAAACTCACAGTCATCCTGAAAAGGTAGAATAGGTACTATTCTTTCAGATGGAGAAACAGGTTGAGTCACCAGTAAATGACAGACTGCAGAGTCACACCTAGCTCTCTGAGTCCGACACCCTTTCCCCAGCACTCACAAGACAGGTCCTTGAAGAAATGCACATTTTCAGCTCCATCCCAAGCCTATTAGATCAGATGAGGCTCAGCCGTCTGTGTTCACAAGCCCTCTAGGTCATTCTGGTACACGCTAAAGTTTGAGAACCACTGCACAGCACCATACTATGCAAGGCCAAGACCACTTTGGTCATTTTTGTCCCACAGGTGTTGAGGGAAAGATGCAGTTTCTTAGAGGTGTGAGTCACAGGATTTAAGGAATCGGCATGAGAAAGTACAAGGCTCAGCGCTGTGTTATGTTAGAAGGACTCATTTTCTAGTGCTGTTGGCTCCAACCCTGGCAGATCCTCTAAGTTGAAAGGCAGTACTATAAGGGAGAAATGGCCCAGGAGTCCAAAGACCAGGCTTGTATCCGAGCACCACTGCTTCCCAGCAGTGTAACCTCTCTCGACCTGTTTCCTTGCCTGAAATCAAGGCTAGAAGAATACATGAGGGCCTGCTAGATGTTGAATTGCTGCTGGGGATGGGGCCCACGACCTCAGTACCCTCAGGCTCACCGCACTCACCACTGTGTTCTCACACCACAGAGTCAGGCAGTAGTTTTTCACTTGGCCCCAGGCATCCTTCATGTTGTCTTCGGACAGGGGCACTAGCTCATGGCTGTCCCTGGGCCGATAGCTGGATGGAGACAATGGGGAAGAACCAAGTCAGAGGACAGCAGCGCAAAACCATCCTCTTCAGTCCTCTAGGCCAGCGCCAGGTCCCCCCGCTGTCCCCTAACACCTGCCACCTGCACGGAGCTCACCTCAGCTTCGTGTGTTCCGGCAGGAGCTCCAGTTTCTTAGACACCATGTCCCGCACCTGGCTGTAGGGGAATCCAGGCTGGGTCTCCATGACCACCGTGTACTTGTAGTGCACCTTGAGTGTGTAGGGCATGGGGACACTGAGCTTTATGTCCTGAGGGGAGAGGAAGCAGAGGGAACTCATGAGTGTCTGTGCTTCCTCTTAGCAACCTCCTGGCTCGCCACAGCTTTCCTGGTAGCACAGGGAGCACTGTATGTAGCCAGGAGAGGCCAACACGTCACTGGTTTTAATAAGTAATGTGAAGGATCTTTGCAGGTCTTCCAGCCCAGCTCTTGCTTGGACATGAATTCCTACCTAGAGATCTGACCCACCTGCTATGGGCAGCAGGAAATGTGTGCATGGGGATGGGGTGGGAGGTTGTTGAGGGGTTCCCAGGGCTGTGAGCATGGTGGCACTGGTCTGTCCTTTCTTTGGGACTATTTATATTATCCAGGGAGACATGCCTGTGGTGGACAGCCCACATGCTTCCATTCTCTACCTCTTGAAATAATACGAGGGAAAATGTTACCTTGGGCTCTTCTTTTTCTTTCTGACCTAAACGAAGAAGGTAAGGAGTGAAAAAAGAAGATGAGTGAACATTCTTGGCCAGCTCCTTTCATACACAGAATGAAACCTCTTAGGGCACCGGACTGCATACCCTTTCATCTCTAAGGTAACTATTAACCTTATTGTGGGGGAAATCTGCCTCTGGGGGGCACACGAAGAGCAAAGCCATGAATGCACAAAGGAACCCAGTCTTTGCTTCCAGGGAGTCATGGGTAATTATCAAAGGACTGCCCATCCTCACCAACCCATGAAGTCAGCAGGGTTGAACAAGTGGGCTCCAAAGCAAAGACAAACCGGGACACTGAGGTGAGCCAAGGGCCACAAGAAGAAATGTTAGATAGAACCACTTTCACCTCATCCTTTATTTCTGTGTATGTTTTCAATGTGTATAATATATTGATATGGCAATGTGCATATCATTTATATATAAGAAGTATTTATAAATATGTTATAGGGGATTCATCATATAGTAAAAAAAAGATCATTGATCTCAAACCAAGCTTGACTATTAAAATCACTTGGGAAGTTTTTTTGTAGAAATACAGATTCCTAAAGCTAATTCCAGGTCTAAAAAATCAGAGTAAAGAAACCTAGGGATTTATACTGTTAAAATTTTCCTAGGTTAATAGGTGATTCCCCATGGGCCCCTAGACAAAACAAAACAAAAAAAGTTAGCAAGGATATTTTGGAGAATAATTGGAGTAATTGAATATGCAATATACATTCTATAAAATTAATGTTGAATGTCCTGGGTTTAACAGTTGAATTGGGGTTATGGAGAAGAATGTCCTTGCTCTTAGGAAATACATACTGAATTGTAGGGTGAAGTGTCATAACTCTGTAAGTGACTCAGTCACTCTGGGGAAATATGTGTGTGTGTGTGTGTGTGTGTGTGTGTGTGTGTGTGTATAGAGAGAGAGGGGGGTGGGCAGGCAAGTACACAGTGCAAAGTGTTAACATTTGGTGACTTTAGATGAAAAGTATTCTGGCATTTTTTGTACCATATTTTCAACTTTTCTGTGGTTTTGACATTTTTGTAAAAAGAACAGGTGTAGGGAGCATCCAGGGATTCTGATGACCTGGTGGCCTTGAGGATCACTGCATCTCCACCAAACACTCAGAATCTGCTTAAATTGCACTCCTGGCAGAAAGCAAGCCGCGGGAGAGCCTGCCCCTGGGTCCTTTGTCCCAGGGCTCTGCAGATTTCTGTTCCAGATAATAGAACTCCTGAGACCTTTAAAAAGAACCATCCCCATCCCCATCCTTACTGAGGTAAACGTGCAGTTACCTCACCATGGTTTCAGTACTGCCCAAGGGGTTTGGATGGGACACTCGCCGCGCCCCCCCACCCCAGCCAGCCCCATTTACCCAGGCCCCATGGGTGTTGTGCAGCAGGCAGGGGAAAGGGGCCTCTCTTTCCTGTGTGCTGGGAGGGTGGGTGGTTAGAGCAAGAGATGGGGCTCTGGGGCTGAGTGGCCATGAGTTGAGTGGCTTGCCGAGAGGAAAAGAAACCAGAATTTTCTGCAAGCAGCTTGGAGGGTTCCTTTCCGCTCTGGATGTCCTCCGAGGACACTCACCTGGTGACAGCTGGGGTCTTCCTGGAGCACTGGAACTGGGCGGAGCTGGGATGTCAGACTCTGGGGAAGCATCCTCCTGCTCGGGACAGGAAGAGATGGTGAGGATTTTCACCCCCGCAACGTTCTTAGGCCAGAGCAGGAGTAGGAGAGGAGCAGACCCGCAGACCCGCAGACCCGCAGGGAAGAGAGCCAGGTACAAGTGACTTCTAAAGGCAGGAGTGCTGGTGACATACAGGGGCGGGGGGAGGCGAAGGAAAGTGGTTTAGAAGGGGAGGCAGGGTGAACCTGGTGGAAACAAACCACAGGAGAAATAAGAATCCACCTCTCCCCAAGGGCCCTGCTGCCTAATCACCCTCATTTACAACGTGTCCAGTCATCTGGATGCCGTGATTCCAACCCCGGAGGACCCAGCCCACAGCGGACACCTGCTGCACTGCCAGCCATCTACACTCTGCTCAGGCCCCAGGAGGAGGGCTGGCCTTTGAGGGGCAGTGGAGGGGCTGGTAGTAGCTCTAGGAGCATTGCTCTAAAGCAGGCCTCTCTTCCTCCCTCCCTCCTCCTGCCCCCCTCTCTGTGGCATTTCACCAAGCAACACTTTGACTGTTTTTCCAGGTGAAGAGGACATTTCTGGGAAGACCTAAGCTTCATATGTTGTGGGCATTGGGTCCCATGACCAGGAGGAATCACAAAGGTGGGTGGGCCCAGTCAGTCCCAAAGACCTTCTGCTCTGGACGGCTGGTGCCACTCCAGGCGGGCTCAGAATCCATGCACCTTCCTTTGGTGATGGTGACGTTTCTCACACTGCTCTTCCCCCTCCATGGGAGGTCTGTCAGTGGGGGGTATGGGTCAGGACTTGGTGCCACTTACCTGGGGCTGCTGCTGAGGATGGATCCGCAGCTCCACGGGTTCCAGGAAGTTGCAGGGAACAAGCCCCTTCTGCAAAGAAGGTAGCAGGTGGGGGTACTCAGAAAGCTCTGCCGTTGGCCGCCAGGATTCCATACCCCCACAAGCCACCCCCAAGCCCCCTGAATACCTGCCCGTTGAACATGACCGTAGCCCAGTTGTCGTTGCCCTTCTTCAATACAAAGACGATGTTCCCGGGCTGAACCTGGAGCTCCTCCGGGGTCTCAGGCACAAACCCGAACAGCACGCGGTGAGCCTCCCCTTCCAGGGCCCTGCGGGGCAGACACGAGATCCCATCCACGCTCTGGCCTGCAGCACATCCCCTCTGCTGTCGGTCAAGCTCAGTGGACCTGGAGCCGGGAGGCTGCTCCAGACACCCTCTACCTCCACGTCCAACTGTCTGTGTGACCCCGAGCAGGCACGGCCCTCCCTGGGCCCCGAGAGGGCGCAGCGGGGGGAGCTGGATGTGAAACTCGCTTCACAGCCATCTATGCAGTGGGATAAGAATAAAAGAAAACCGCGTGGATACAGAGGCCTTGCGGTCCTTGCCCTCCCTTCTCTGGGGAGGAAGGCTCCTGGTGCGCCTGGCCAGCTCCCGTGTCCGGGCCGGGGTGGCCCAGGTGAGTGTGCAGGGGAATGGCCCCGGTGGAAGGCAGGCGAGAGCCAGCCGGGCAGGCAGAGAGGTCACCCGGAGCCAGTGTGGGGTCAGGCAGGCACCTGCAGGGGGAGCTGTGCGGAGGAGGGGGTGTGTGTGGGAGTACTGAGGCTGCCACGGCGAGCTCCTCTCGGCCATATCCTCCCTTCCCACTTAGCTCTCAGGGCGCTGAGCGCTTTGGCATGTGTGACCAAGAGGCGGCTTCAGGGGGCGATAGTTTCACGTCCCTCCGCTCCCTCCCCGCTGGCGCTGTCCCCTCGCCCTTCTTTTGTCCCCGGCGCTTGTGCCTGTTTACGCAGCGGACACAGACTCCTGCGGCAGACAGTTAGGAAGGAGCTCGTCCAGGCCCCCATTTGTATAGTTGCTTTGGAACTTTTTTCACTCGTTTTAAATCTCCTTTGGGTGGGGAGCCAGGCTGACCTCCTCACTGAGATGCTGTTCTTAAGAGAGCTGTGCCTTTCTTTGCCTTTCATCTTACAGGAGAATGACTTCTTTTCCTTGAGCCCATCCTCTTCTCCAGAAGACATGTGCCCACAGGGAGTGAAAACAGCCCTTCTGGCTCCCACTCCGCTTGCCCGACTCCAGAGCTTGGCCCCTGGCAGCCCCCTAGGCCAGCGCTCGCCGGCTGGGAGGGGGGCTGCGTCCCATGGACACCAGTGCCATTTGGCAACAAGTCCTCCCTATACGGTGGCTGTGCAATGGACGGGGGACACGGGGACGCCACATAGCCAGCAGCCAGGCCCCAGCGTCCTCTCCACCCCCTCCGCTCCCATCAACCCAGGCGTGGGGCTTGGCTGTCTGCATGCTGAGCTAACCCTCACTTACCTGAAGATCTCGGGGGTTTTGGGTCTGGGGGGAGGCTCCGCTGCCTAGTGAACATCAAAGAGAGATGACGACGGGCAGGACCAGAAAGAAAGAGAAAGAGCAGACTGTTTAATGGTCAGTGGAGCCTTTTCACCCCGATCAGACAACCACAGACTGCATTTGTGGCTCCATCAGAACCCAGTCTCCGGAGAGGCACAGAGCGCCCTGACTGGACCCTGGAAGGGGTTCACCCGCACAGCAGTTCCTCTGGGGCCAGACCCGTTCCCGGGAAGTGGGTCTGTCGCAGAGCAGCGTGGCGTCACGAGGATGCCTTTGACCTTGAGCTCTGCCCTTCGTTGGGACGGTTTCCAGAAGCTCTGCTCTATAATTAATGTCTGCTCTATCACATGACTCCCGTGGGTGTTTAAAATCGACTCCGGAGCCACCGGCCATCGTGCGTTTCCAGGTCTACACCGAGCGCCGCGGAGTCCCGTGACCCAGCACCTGCTCCTCTTGGAGTCGTCCGGCTGCTCGAAGCCCAAGGGAGGTTCCCCACGATGGAGTGTGAGGAAGATCCATGAATCTGGACTCTCTGTTCTCCTCTGCGCATCTCAGCCTCCTGGCCCCAGCACTGGTCCCGTTCGGGGCCAGCGGTGACCAGGCTGACCCTGGCAGGCTGGGCACTGCCCTCAAAGCCCCACCCGTCAGTGCTGACCAGCGCTCCTGCCCATCATGGGTCTCCCGCAGCAGAGCCTGACTCCTGCTCGGCCTGTCTCCCCCTCCCCCTCACCAGGAAGCTCTGCCTTCGCATGGACCCCTTGCCATCCGGTCCACCGGGGACCACAGCCCTGAGCCCAGCTGGGGCGGAACATGGTTCACTGTGGGCCCCCTTCCGGTGTTCCCGAGGGAACCCCCACACACAGGCCGATGGGTGCCGCCAGGAGAGCTCAGGGCCTCAGGCCCCAGCCCCCAGGAGGCCCCTACCAGCCCCTGTGCCTGCAAAGGGGACTCGTTCATAGGCCTCCGTCAGCTTGCATTTCGATTTTCTGGGAGGACAGTCGAAGCTTCAGCTCTCCTAGACCTTGAGAAGTGAAGACTGGCATCGGGGGCAAGCGGGAAGGATGGCTTCTTGAGGACTGGAGGCTGGTTAAGCCTCCAACTGCTTTACGCACACCCGTCGTGGAGCCTGTGACAGGAATGGCCGCAGGACCCTCGGCACTGTGAGGCCAGCTGAAGGGGCCCTTGAGTGAGGCAGCTCAGCGGAAACACCCTCCCCGTGGGGAGATCACGGAGCACTCCTCGTGGAAAGCTCACGGAGCACACCCCGTGGGGAGGCACCTCAGTCCAACAAGCAGGAAGGAGCCTTACCTGCGGCTGCAGAGGGGCAAATCCCGAGAAACTGTCTTGATCCACCACAGATGCCACCACCTGGAATTGAGGAAGGGGGTGTGAGGGCTCTGCCAGCACTGTTTCCCTATCTGCCTATGGCCCCCGAGATCCCCTCTTTCCTCCCAGCCCAATGCATTCCCACTGGCTCCATCCACAAGACCAGCATCCTGTGAGTCACTCTGCGCTCCCCCCTTCCCCCCCGCCCCCCCCCCCGGCCAGGTCAGGTGGAAGAGAAGAATGAGAGGAGCCTGGAGAAAATAGCCTAGAAGCATCTTTCAGCAAGACCCCACGCTATAAAGCGTCTCTCCTTGCCATTCCAGGGCAGAACCACGTGGGGGGTCCCTTTCAGAGTCTCCCCCCGCCCCCCACCTTGCCCTGCAGGGCCCAGATCTCAGGAGATGCCAGGGAAGCCAAGAGCCACCTACCATAGCCTTGCCCAGGTAATCCTTCTTCACCAGCTGGGCCACTTGCCTCTCATTGGGTCGGAAGAGCCTGCCCACGGGGATCACCACCGGCTCGTACAGCTTCTGCTTCTATAGAGCACAGTGTTTCCTCACCATGAAGCTCAGGGTACGAGGCTTGCCCGGCTCCCTCCCCGAGTGCGTGCAAGAATACAGCGAGATAACCTGCAAAAGCGCTTCTCCTAAACGTGCAGGGATGGCGCTTGCTATTGTGTCAGGGTCTCAGGTAGGTGTCACCTTTCGCTGAGGGACCGTGTGGAGCTGTTGGTGTTATTTGCCCTGCACCCTTTTCCTAGGGGAGCTGCCCCGCTCCCACTCGGTGGGACTTGGATGGGGCTGTCACTCAGAGTGTAGGAGGCACCACCACGACCACCACCACCACCAGACTGGCTTGGAACAGTGCTCTCCTGGGACCAGTGACTGCTGACATGGGCATATTTGTTATTACTTTTTGTTAATCTTCACCGAGGACATTTTTTTCCACTGATTTTTATAGAGTGGAAGGGAGAAGGAGAGACAAAGAGAGAGAGAAATATCGATGTGAGAGAGACACATCGACTGGTTGCCTCCTGCAGGCTCTGCGACCAGGGCCAGGGAATGAGCCTGAAACAGAGGTAGGTGCCCTTGACTGGGATGGAACCCATGACCATTCAGTGGCAGGCCGATGCTCTAACCTCTGAGGCAAACAGGCTAGGGCGGGCAGGCATGCTAAGACAGACCTGTGCCCTCTTGTTCCTGGCGTTTTAAAAATCTGATTTAAAAGGACCTTCATCCCAAATGTCCTCAGACAAGCTATGGATAACTTTCAGCATTTGTTCACATCACCCATGCATTTTTGTTGAGAGCCATCTCATGGGCTTGGCACCGCACCAGGCTGCCAGGCCTCTGCCCTTGCTTGGCTCCAGCCCCCTGCTCCCCGTGTGCTGCCACGGAGCCCCACTTGGGGGCGGCCTAGGCAGGATCCTGCTGTTCTACACTCCAGGCTTCGGCTTACAGTCACTTCCAGATTCAGAATCCTGGGTGGAGTTACACTCCCAGTGGAGCGTTCCCCAGGACTCAGAGGAAGTAAAAGCACCACGTCCACGGGTTCTCAAGCCACGTGCCCACTGGAACAGGCCCAGATCCAACGACATCCTCCCCGCACCTGCATCCCAGTGCGCTTACCCACACACACTCCATGGCTTTGTCAATTTTGGAATGTCTCGGCTCCGACTTCATGCTCATCGCCAGGGCTAAGTTTTCTTCGGCCTTTTTCCATTCCTCCTTCTTGGCATGCATGAAAGCAATGTTGTATAACACCTAGAACAGCACAGGCCACACCATAAGACAGGGGCTGCTCCCAATCCAGGCACCAAGAGGGCTGGCACGTTGCCTGGGGACCTTTCTCCCCCTCCCTGCTCTCCTGGGAATGTCTGCAATAGACATCCATCTTGCCACAGACTCATGCCCGGCACACGGACGGTGTTGAGTGAACACCAGGCAATGCGTAAATCCAACATCATGTACATTTTTTGACAGCCAAGCAGGTCAGGAGGAAACAATGATTGTGTTGCTTTAGGATCAAGAAGAGTGACAGGCTTGAGACCCCTTGAAGAGCTGAGAATGAAATACATGTGTGCGGCCTCTCAAAACACGCCTGCCTGTTGCTGAGCCTGGGCTGAGAGACTGGACAGGTGCAGCGTGGGAAGGAAGAGGGTTCCAGATGCATCGTCCTGCTCCAGCACCTGCAGACTCTGCCTGGGACGCGGCACTAGCAAGACTGACACAGCCATATGGGAATGAGGATGCGCATGGGCCACAGCTGGGAAAAGGCTCGGCCCAAGCCTAGGGCAGCGCCTCACCTGGGGGGGGGGGGGGGGGGGGAGCAGCCCATTCACCAACAGCCAGACTTTGCCAGGACTTGGTTTGGGAGGTAGGTTTATGAGTTTGATTATTATGCTTCACAGCTTACACATAGAACCACATCTTTTAGATGCATCAGCAAGATAAAAAACAACCCCCCCAAAAAAACAACAACAACAACAAAAAATCCCACACACACAAAAAAACAGCTACCACCAAACTCCCTCCCCAGGTTCTTTCTGCACCTCAGTGAGCAGTTGCCTCCTACATACACACTTGGCTGGCCCGGCCCTCCCTTGACCGTGTGTGCAGGGTGAAAGGAGAACTCCAGGCCCTTTAAAACCTCCTCTTCCATCTAAGCCACATGTGTCAAACACAAGCCCCTCGGGCCAAATGCGTCCCGCCAGGCCTTGCAATTTGGCCAGAACCGTGCTGTCATCACTGCACTCTGCTGCATTTCCATCACAATGACAGTTTATGACTGTTCAGTAAACCATTCGGCCCCCAATTTAGGCTGGATTATAGATTTTGGCCCCTTCTCTGATTGAGCTCGACACCCCTAATCTAAGCCCTCTTCTTTTTAGACCTTTTCCACACCAGGCTTTGATGACTCCATGACTGGATAAGGTTGGGCCTCCTTTTAAAAAAGGATGGTGGGGTTTCTCAGAGCCAGGGTTATACCCTGGGAAAGGCAACGGGATTTATAAGCAGGGAGGTGACTGGAGGGTCCCAGGTGGCAGAGGGGCCTTGGACTTTGGAAAGCCCAGTGTCCCTTGCAGAGAGGCCTACACCCGGCGTTTCCTGCTCCAGGTCATCTCAATGCCAACTGCAGGAGGAGCTTCCTCCCATGGAGCCCTGCTTCCATGCCACTGTGTCATGGCCCTCTCTCTAGGGCAGTGGTCACCAACCGGTGGTCCGCGGGCCACTGGTGGTCTGTGAGGTACGAAAGGTTGGCGACCGCTGCTCTGGAGCAGTGTTTCTCAGACTTCTCTCATGATGAGAATCATCCAGCGGAATTGTTAGAATACAGATTCCTGAATCCCAACTAAGAAGTGCTAAACTAGAATTTTGGGGAATATGTTTGTAAAATTGTATACTTAACTAGTGCTCTAAGCTTAGTATATAAAAAAGTATACAAGTTTACCTATATGTTCCCAAAAATTCTAGTTTAGCACTTCTTAGTTGGGATTCAGGAATCTGTAGTTTAACAACTCCGCTGGGTGATTCTCATCATGAGAGAAGTTTGGAAAACACTGCTCTAGAGCTACTTGGTCCCCCAGCCCTTAAAGCTATATACGTGGTTCTCGCTCTGGGGTGATTGGCCACACGTAGCGATGTTTTCGGTTGTCACACTGGGGGTGGGGGACGACTGGCCACTAGTGAGTAGAGACCAGGGAGGCTGCTAAACATCCTGCACTACACAGGACAGTCTCCTACAACCAAGAACCACCTGGCCCGACAGACCCACGGTGGAGAAACCCTATTGTAGCAGCCAGTCAAATGGCAGGCAGTTCCCACCGCCAGGCCTCATCTCCCCGGCCTGGGAGAAGCCAAGGGAGCGGCCGCCCTGCGGCAGGGCTGGGTGTCCCCAGGGGCCTGGGCAGCTGCGGACGCTATTCTTAGCCCCGGGCGACCCTGGAAACACTTGGCTTCTCCTGCTGGAGACATGAAAACAAGGAGACTTTCTTCAGAGATTCTTAAAAATAAAGACCTGTGACATTTGCAGGGATTGTAGTTTTCAAAGCTAGTGGGGCATTTGTGCTGTAAGAGGGGTGTGGGGCGGGCAGGCTGGAAAAAGTATGCCAACTTTTGAAATCCAAATCATGTTTCTCCCTTTTAGCGAGATAGAGATGAAGTTCTCCTTCTATGGAGAACTCTCCTAAATTGGTGCTCTGAGCCGTTCTTTGACCGAGAGGGAACTGACTTGTGTGAAAATATCCCCACATTCCCTCTGGGCATCCACCAAGTACATGAGGCCAGAACCATGAATAGCAAAGAGCGTGTCCTGTAACTCGGGAACTGAGCAAGGTCAGGGCAGGTCCTGCAGGAAAGCAAACCCGGGATTTGGATGTGTTTGTCTAATGCCGGGCAAACAGCTTGCCCACCTGAGGGATGCGAACTACCATGGATGCTTTCACCGGCCCACGCGCTCCTGCCCAGGCTGGGGGCCCTGCCTCCTCACCTCACAGGCAAACAGCTTGAACTGCAGCCCCAGGATCTTGTAGTCTATCAGCTGGTTGCCCCGGAGCTGAGCCAAGGCCTCCTTCAGGTCTTTAATCGCGGAGTCGTACCTGCAGGGCAGAGGGAGAAAACAGACCAGTCCCCGGCCCGGAGGAAAGACTACAGAATTAAATGTGTCTGCATCCCTTCCTCTGTCCGTCTCCCTGGGACAGAGCCTTTCTGTTCCTCCACGTTTGTGCCAATGCTGAGCCCTTGTTTTCTACAGAACTCAGGGTGCAGGTACCCCTCTCCCATGAGGTTGACACAGGGACACCTCTGAGAGGCCCCTCTCACAGCCACTGGCATCTTCCTCCTGCTCAGAGCCTTCCCCTTGGCTTCTTCTTATTCTTCTTTTATATATATATATTATTGACTTTTTACAGAGAGGAAAGGAGAGATATAGTCAGAAATATCAACCAGCTGCCTCCTGCACACCCCACAAGGTACATGTGCCCGCAACCAAGGTACATGCCCCCAACTGGAATCGAACCTGAGACCCCTCAGTCCTCAGGACGATGCTCCATCCACTGAGCCAAACCGGTTTTGGCTCCTTGGCTTCTTTTGAGTCCAACTTAGCTCTTGGTTTTGTGGTTGCTTCGTCTCCCCCACCCCCTCTTTGGAAAAGAGAAACCCCCTGGAGCAGAGAACATGTCTAACCCTGCTCTGCACGTCCCTGTGCTTGTTTGGTTGGGCCTAGTACGGACCGCTCAACGTGACTCAGGGCTGCTGTGGTGCAATTGTGGCAGAGAATGGGGCTGGTCCCCTCAGCAGTGCCCACGGTGGTGTGGCCGGGACCCGAGCCACATCTCCTTGGCCTGCCCCTGACCTCCCCACCCTGGTGGGAGGGAGCTGTTGCTGACCTTCGGGGTGTGGGGTTGGGGAACAGGGGGGCGCGGGGGGACACACGCTACCCACACCCCCAGGCCCCGGGCCTAGAAGGAACAAAGCTGGCTGCAGGCTGTGGCTCCCATGAGGGAAGTGAACCACAAGTCCCCAGGCCATGCCCTAAAGCGGCCATGTGTGCGTGGCTTTTCTTGGAGGCGAGCCTGGGATTTGGCTCCGGCGGCGGGGGGACTCGCAGGAGGTGGTGTGGTGTGAAGCCGCCCTCAGACAGCGGCCAGCAGACTGGGGCCAGACCCATCAGCTCTGCCATCGCCAACCGGGAGATTCTGGCAACTTACTGCCCTCGGGCTCCTGGTGCCCAGCATAAGGAGTGATTGTGTGCCGGCAGCATATCCCATTCAAGGAGCATAGAGAATGAGGAGCTTGCTGGTAGGTGGTCCCGGATCTCACTTCTGGAGTCAAAGCCACATGGACTTGACTTCTGGCTCTGCCACTTACTATCGAATGACAAAAGGCAAATTGTTTCATGTCTCCCAGCCTGTCTCCTCATCGTCAGAGTTCCAAAGCTCTGGCAGTTGAATTCACACGCCAGCCATTTCGTGTTTGCTTCGTTAATGCCTAGACCAGTGCTCGGCAAACTCATGAGTCCACAGAGCCAAATATCAACAGTACAACGACTGCCATTTCTTTGGAGAGCCGAATTTTTCAAAAACTTCTTCTAACGCCACTTCTTCAAAATAGCGCCCAGGCCGTGGTATTTTGTGGAAGAGCCACACTGAAGGGGCCAAAGAGCAGCATGTGGCTCGCAAGCTGTGGTTTGCCGACCACGGACCTAGACTGTAATAGTATCAGGAGGTAAAAACACAGCGTTGCAGAAGCTGGAACTCTGACCTCAAGGAGCTGGAGCTGGCCAGGAGGGTGGCTGGCCGGAGGGTCCTAAGGGAGGTGGTTGGGAGAAGCTCTAACACACTCTTGTTTTAAAGAATGTAAAACCTATGAAAAGCGTGCAAGCCATTCTCTATTAAGCAGGAAGCATTTCAAGACCTTAACACGTCCTTTTGGGCTTCCTGTTCCTTCTTTCTGGCTGGAAGATGGGTGACGGGCGCCACGTCACTGAGCCACGGAGGAGGGCCAGACGGAGGCGAAGGTGTCCTGTCCCTCCGCACATGCTGTTCCAGGTGTTCCCTGCCTGTGCCGGAGGCGCCCAGGGTCCCCAGAGGGCACCCTCGGGCACTGTCAGCATTGGCCTGCAACGTGCTTCCTCCTGGCAAGAGCGCTGGCGAAGCAGATGGATTTCAGCTGGGAAGTGACACCGCCTGGGGAACCGGTATTGAATGACCCCAGCACATCCAGCTCATAATTCTCCAGCCCCCGGGCTGTCTTAAGATCTGGGCCCCAGGGAGGAAGAGGGAAAGAACCCACCCATTACTCAAAGCGCTTGTTAAAAACCAGGGAAAGGCGTCCTGCTGCAATGTCTGTTTACCTTGAAAGCAGCATCCCACCGCCCCAGCAGGCCTCTGCCCCGCCCCCAACTTGCTCCCCCCACCTCCCCAGTGGGCCCTCAGCCTCACAGCTCAGCTACTCCTGCACGGGGTCTGAATCAGCTCAGTGTGAGGCCCCAAAACAGCGTGCAGCCCCCTCCCTCCCCCCCGCCTCCAGCCACCTCCAGTTCTCTTTGGTGCCACTTGGAAGGCACAGTGTCCCTAGGAGGCCAAGGTGCTGGCAGCTTCTGTGGGTTCCCAGTGACACCCCAGCTGGGTGCCTTGGCTGTGTAGACCCGCACCCCCAGGCAGGGGCTCAGCTGCTAGGGCAGGCTCGCCTTTCACAAGCTCTGAGCTGGGGTGTTTGTAATCCTCCTTTCTGTAGCTCTCCCTGGGAAGGTTTCTTAGTAACTGCTGTGTTCCCGATTGTTCCCGTTCTCTCCGTGCCCCATGCCGTCTAGAGTCCAGGATAAAGGAGAGGCTTAGCCGCTGAAAAAAGTAAAAATGTCAGACACCTCTGTGATGGGCTGGAGGTCACAGTTTTCGGTGTCCAAGACTGACTGCAGGACAAAGATGGCTGTGTCCGCAACACCCAAAGGGTCTCACTCTTGCTGTCCTGGACCTTCAGGTTTGTAAGACCCAGGGTATGAGTGTAAAACCTATGAAAAGCGTGCAAGCCATTCCCTATGCATTTCAAGTCCTTAACGTCCTTTTGGGCTTCCTGTTCCTTCTTTCTAGGCTGGAAGATGGGTGACGGGCACCCTCCCCTTTCAGATTACAGGCTGGCCAAGGCCATCCCTGAGACACACCCGCCTTCTCAGGCATGCGCCCCAATGTTGTCCTGATGGCTGGGAAATTAATTTGGAAGTGGTTTTGTGGTAATCAGACAGATAGACATGAGCAGAGCAAGGACAGTGGGCCAGGAACAAAAGGTCACCAGCACTGAAAGCCCTGGGTGTCTAGCAGAGGACAACTGGAGGGTGGGACCTTGTCCCCAGGGTGACCGTTCCTCCCCTAGCCTATTGCTGGTCATGCGGTTTGAACCCCCAGACCTTTCCTCCCTAGAGATGACATCTAGGCCTCAGCTGTATTTCAGCTCCAGGCCCAGAAAAGCAGCCAAATCAGACGAGGCACTCCACCGCTGACCTCTGACCTCGGGACCAGCTGCACTGAATAATGACCCCGTGCCCTGGAGCCCACCAACCAATCCCTGGAGGCTCAGCCCTGAAAGGACACACCTGGAAAACGGCTGAAGATTTTGTAGAGATCTTCCCCAAGAACTTCCCTTAACATCTCCACCCTTACAACCCCGGAAATGGAGGGCCCTCCCGGAGTATGCCCCTGCCCTTCCCTTTCCCCAGGCGGGTCCCCTTGACCTTCCTCACTTCTAAGCTCCAAGGGCCCTTTCTTTAACTTGTTTCCTACGTCTGTTTTTTTTTCTACAGATTATTTCTTACTTCAGTGATTTTCCGTATATTTAAGTCTGGGCTCTGAAATCTCTCGTAGCCAGAACTCAAGGACTGAGGTTGCTGATCGAAGGTCCAGCCTGACCTCACCGGCCTAACATTGGGTGCCATAGTCATTCTCGCCGCCCCTAACAGTGACAGCAGTTCTGATGGAAAGTGAGGCCTAAGCCAGGGCAGTGCTGGTGGGAGGAGAATGGGTGGGCTTAAGAGGTATTTAAGAGGTCCACTTGGCAAGGTGCAGGAGAGGAGCCATCCTGGGTTGCTCTCAGGTGGAGATTGCGTAGCCTGATGGCTCCAGAGGGAGGCCGATGCGATGGAGAAGGTGGGATCCCCAGAGTTCGGGTATGGGTTTTCAGGCGACATTGATCCCCAGAAACTGCCGTGTGTGTGTGTGTGTGTGTGTGTGTGTGTGTGTGTGTGTGTGTGTGTGTGTTTCTGGGAAGATAACCCATAAGTTTGCCATTGAACAACCACTGCTGTCATGATAAGAGGGAAAAGGGTCAAGAGCAGAGCCTTGGAGAGGAAGACACCGAAGCCTGTGTACTGCGCGAAAGAAAAGGAGGCGGCTTGAGGTGAGAGCAGCGTCTCATTTATATTGTTTCCTCCATAGACGGCTGCTGAATTAAAGGTAACGTTTGATAGATTTCTCTCTCAGATTTGACTACTATCAATCACATGCTAACTAAATCCTGGGTCTTACTTTTAGACCTGAGATCTTTCTGACTCTCTCGGAATCCAAGCCTTTCCGACTCAGGAATTTCTGGGCATTTTTGTGTAGAAATTTCTCCCGGGAACATTTCCCCTGGTCAGTGACTCTTCTCATTATAAGCTGCTAGAGCTAATGAAAGGAGGGCCTGCTAGTCTGTCTTTTAAGATTAAAGATTCCCTGGAGGGTTTGTGCTCAGGCTTCCCTGCATCTTCTGTCCGCCTCAATCCCAGGCTTTCTGTCTCCAGACGGCCTCTGTGGGGTCTTTCTTACTTCCCTTGATGAGTCAGATATAACTGGCCACATTTGCCTCTTGGAAGTCTCAGAGGCTTGTAGTTGCCCCTGGCAATAGCTGAGCAAGTAGCTGGATACCACCCACATCACGCTCTGACCGTTCCCACCGGAAGTTCTTCATTAGCCTGAGCCAAATTCTTTTCCCTAGTGCTGTGCCCACTAACGGAATGAGCGATTTCTACAAACCTTCTAGTTAACGCTGAGAATATGTTTCCTTTGTTATTTGCATATTTGTTATTGGGGGAGGGGAATGACATTGAGATTAACTTTGATATTCAATCTAGTTATCTTTTTATTTTTTTACTGATTATTTTGTGGTGACTGTAAACACACCAAAAAATTACAGACAGGCTGATAGAAGAAAATGGAAACCCCTCTAAGCTCACCACCCCCTCTCCAGAGAGAACTGCTGACACCTTTTGGTCTATGGCAGTGGTTGGCAAACTCGTTAGTCAACAGAGCCAAATATCAACAGTATGACGATTGACATTTCTTTTGAGAGCCAAATTTTTTAAACTTAAACTTCTTCTAATGCCACTTCTTCAAAATAGACTTTCCCAGGCTGTGGTATTTTGTGGAAGAGCCACACCCAAGGAGCCGAAGAGCCGCATGTGGCTCTTGAGCCGCAGTTTGCCGACCACTGGTCTACGGCCTTCCATAGACACTCTTTGAAACAGAAGTGGGCTTGTGCCGTCCATACTGTTTTGAAACCCGTGTTTTAATTAACATCTACTATGAACGTTTCTCTATACCCTGTTTCCCCAAAAATAAGACAGTGTCTTATATTAATTTTTGCTCCCAAAGATGCGGTAGGTCTTATTTTCAGGAGATGTCTTATTTTTCCATGCGCTAGGTCTTATTTTCGGAGGATGTCTTATTTTCGGGGAAACACGGTATTAACATATATGCTACCTATTTATCTGTATCAACATAGTCTTGAACCTATAATGTTAATAGTTTGTTTTCTCATTTTGATGGCTGAATAATATTTCATTGGATGGATTGACCTAGGGCCAGGGGTCTTCAAACTTCTCTCATTATGAGAATCACCTGGTGGAGTTGTTAAAACACAGATTCCCGGATTCCAACTATAAGAAGTGCTATCAGGAATCTGTGTTTTAACACCTCCACCAGGTGATTCTCATAATGAGAGAAGTTTGAAGACCCCTGACCTAGGCTTATGAAAATACATTCTGCAGGAAGGAAAGACGATGTGGTTTCATGAGAATCATGTGTGACAGCTAGTACCTCCCGGCAGCGGGCCAGCAGCGTGCTCCCTTGATGGCTGGCAAGTCACCATCAGCACCGTCCAGCCATGCCCCATAGGGATGCTTGTCAGTGCCACAGCCGCTGCATCTCCGGCCTGTGGTGGCTCCAGGGGCCACGGTGAGCTCTGACACAGCTGCTCTGCCCCCGGGGAAGCCTCGTGCTGACAGAATGCATAACTGCCCAGGGAAGGTTCAGCCACGATTCCCACCAGAAGCTGGGGAGACACGGCTCAGCTCTGCAGGCCAGCAGCCTGAGACCCCTCGGGCTTTCTCTGCAAACTCCCCCAGCTGGTGCATCCGGGCCACTTACTTCTCCATCCGGTGGTAGAGCATCCCTCGCTGGAAGTAGGCCACTGCCAGGTGTTTGTCTCGGTTAATGGTTCTGGAGAAGGCCTGTGGGGAGAGGGAGGGTTCGCCTGGGTCCGAGGAGGAGCTGGTGGAGAGGAGGTGTGGGACGAGCCAGAGGGTGAGGCAACCAGGGTCATGAGAGCGGTGGTGTCTTTACAGTGACACCAGGATCAGAGCGCCCTGTGCTGTCACTTCCTGCTGGCATGACGTGAGGCAGGTTACCTGATCTCCTGGAACCTCAGTGTTCTCCTCGGTGAAATGGGGATATGAATATCTCTCAAGAGTACTGACAGGATTTCAGTCAGAAAAGTAATTAAATATAAAAATAATTACTATGTTAGATACAGTGTTCTATTTGTTTATGATATACATTGATCACATAAGTATGACACATTAAAATAATAACAAATATGAATGCATATAAAATGCCAGGTGTAAGGACTCAATCAGGACATCAGAGAGAGGCAGAGAGGGGAGAAGGCAGAGCAGAATGTAGAGAGCGATCCAGAGTGGGGACAGGAAGGCATGGAGAGGGCCCAGAGGTAGGGGGTGGCCTGCCCAGCCTTGCCTGGAGCCCCTGCTGGCATCACTGCCATGCTCCTCCCTCTCTATGCGCACTTTGCTTCCAGCAGCCTTAGTCTCTGTGGTGCTATTTGCTCAGCCCCCTGGCAGGCCCCTGAGAGGAGGTGAGGGCCCCACCCTCTGCTCCTATCTGCCTATTCTGGACCTGAGATGGATTTGTCAGTCTACAAGGTCTTCCAAGAAGCTTCTCTCCTCCCCCTTCTTTGCTCACTTCTGGCCACAGTGAGGATGGCTCCGGGAGGAACTGGCTCTTTAAGGGACCTGGGGAGCCAGTTGTCTGTCCACAAGGCCTTGCAAAGTCTGGCTGAAGATAAGAAACGAGAACTAGCACGCACAACCTGTTGCGAAGTATCGTGGCATTTCCACATGCGATGCCTCACTTAACCTCAATAGGTTCAAGAAACAGACTCGCTGAGGCCCCAAGGCCCAGAAGGAAGCAGAACTGAGGTGTCTGACTCTCAGTCTTCTGCTTCCAAACTCCGTGCCCTTCCAGCTTCCCACCACCAATCCACAAGGTGATGCTTGAATGCCCTCCCCCGCCCCCCCCTTCAGGAACGTGAGAGGGGAAACATATTTGAAAAAGATGCTAAAACACCCGACATGGGTGCCCCCGGCAGACATCACTAATCAATCACTGCATCATTCCCTTCCACCAGCCTCAGAATCTTATTAAAAGTCTTGGAAAGCCGGTAAGAGACGTTTTTGCAGCAGGTGTGAGGCAGTGAGATGCTGCGAGTGGACAGCAGGAGTTCACAGTAGGAAACATAGCCAGGGGAGTCTTCCTATAGGGACGAGAGAACGATTCCAGAACAATGTGGAGGTGAAGAAGAAAGGAGAGTAGAACCCAAGGTGGATCCCAGCCTGGCTGCCCTTCTGTGGTGGGGCCTGAGCAGCTCTGGTTCTTACAAAGCTCCCAAGAGGTTTCTCCAGTGCAGTTGGGGCAAAGGCAGGGAGAAGGTGGGGTGGGGGGGAGCACCTTCACTCCCTGGCTCGTTCACTCACCCACCTTCTCTGCCGCCGCCCAGTTTCCCAGGACTGTGTGCATGCAGCCAATGTTGAAACAAATCCTGGAGTGGGGGTCCTGGACTGCGGAGAAGGCGTCCAGGGCTCCCTTCCAGTCCTTCTTGTCGGCTGCCAGCACCCCATCATTCCAGAGTCTGATGGCCTCAGCCAGGGACATGGCGTGCTGGGGGAAGAGGAGGCTGTGAGCCGGCAGGAGACGGGGAGAGGGTGGGGGGCTCTCCCCCAGCTGGCCAGCCCCAGGCCTTCACTTCCACTGGGGCCCAGCCTCCCTTAAGACAGCTCCCCAGTGTCGCAAAGGCGTCAGGAAATGGCCCCGCCTTTCGGAAACTGATGCCACGCCACTGAGAGATGGGCCAGTGGGGGCGGAGCGTGGGAGAGGAAGTGCATCAGACCCTGCCCTCATGGTTCAGTTCCTCAAAATTCAGGCCCTGATTTCCGAGCCCTGGTTGAAAGAGGGTGTTGGCTGAGGGGACAGTTCTTTCCACTCTTGCAGGAATGCCTTGCTCACGTTCTCATATCCTGTCTTGAAATAGGCCTGTCTTGAAATATCTGTATTTTTATCTAGAGCTAAAATGAGCAATGAGCACTTTTCTGTGGCAGACGGGTCTTGGGTGTTCATCTGGGTCTGGGATAACTTTTAGGAACGCTTAGGAAGCTCAGAAGGGCCAAAATGAAGAGCCATATAGGAGAATAAATTATGACTTCTCCCATCCTTGTGTGAAAACAGGAGAGACCAGGGCTCTCAATGATGACTGATGTGTTTACTACTCTCCAAAACAAACGAATGAGACATTTAATATTCCTTTCTCTTTTTAAAAAATATATTTTATTGATTTTTTTATAGAGAGGAAGAGAGAGGGATAGAGAGTTAGAAACATCAATGAGAGAGAACCATCGATCAGGTGCCTCTTGCACCCCCCCGACTGGGGATGTGCCCACAACCAAGGTACATGCCCCTGACCGGAATCGAACCTGGGACCTTTCAGTCCGCAGACCGACGCTCTATCCACTGAGCCAAACCGGTTTCGGCAAATATTCCTTTCTTTGCTGACCTAAAAAAAAGTAAAAATCAGTAAAACCTCCCAGAGGAACAATTGTGAGTAGGGAGTAGAACCAGTTTGCCCCAGTAAAATCCCCGCTTCTTGTTAATATTCGAGAAAATGTAGTTCTAGGAGGGCCAAATATTTACTTTTATTCCGTAGCAACGGAAAGAACTCGCCAGTTATCACCCAACTTCTCTGAGAGCCCAAACATAAGACTTAAACATGGACATTCTATAGGATTGACGGGACTGAAGGAGAACTGAGAAGACACACATCTGTTTCCTGTGTGAAGGCCTTCCCACCTCACTTCCTCACCTGGCAAACTCCTATTCGTCCAGGAAGGCCCAATGAGATGCCACTGCCTCTCTGAAGTCCAGCCCGGCACGCCAGGTAGTAGAGATAATTTTCCCTCCTTTCCCGCCTCTTCCTCCTGGACTCCCCAGCTCCAATGCTCAGGAAGAGATGGATGAAGGAATGCATCCCAGAAACAAGTGAGAAATCACTGACCAATGCCTTCAGGTGGCAGTGATACCAGGGAAAGATGTTGCTTATCCATCCGGTAAAGAAGTAATTAGAACCCGATTAGCACATAGATTATTTCTAGGAAAACCAGTTGGAGTTGTAGCTAATTGGTGATAATAGATGAGTTCTTTTGCAGCTAAGCTAGACTTTATTTAAACTTTCCCTCCTCTATTTTATTTTATCTTATTTTATTTGTTTTTTATTGATTTTCCACAGAGAGGAAGGGAGAGGGATAGAGAGCTAGAAACATCAATGAGGGAGAAATATCGACCAGCTGCCTCCTGCACCCCCCGCCCCCCACCAGGGATGTGCCCGCAACCAATGCTTATGCCCTTGACTGGAATCGAATCTGGGACCCTTCAGTCCACAGACCAACACTCTATCCACTGAGTCAAACCGATTTCGACTTCCCTCCTCTTTTGAATTTATTATCCTAACCTGCCACACAGAACTCTCCTTAAAATGACACCCCTGACTTTTCCAGCCTTATTTCCCAGAATGCCCCTTCACAAACCCCTACAAACTCCACTACTTGCTTCTCTCCCTCGGGCCTTCATTTCCTGCCTCTCTGCTTCAGCTCCCTATGGTTTCCGTCTCCCTGAACTGCCCTTCCCAGGTCTGCCCCTTCCGAGCCACCTGGCACAGCTTTCCGTGTCCTGCTCACACATCCCCTTCCTTCAGAAGTCACCCTGAAATCTGGCTCACCCGCAAGTCACCTTCTATACGCCCATGTGGCACCTAAGTGTTCTGTGTGTGCCTGTGTGTCTTAGACCAGGCTGTGCCCACCCTGCTATCCCCCAGATGCCATTCATACTGTTCTGTCCACTTTCCCGCCATCTCTCCTGTGGCCAACCTATCAGAGGGACATAGAGACTCCTAACATCTTTCCTTTCCATCCATTCATTCTCCACAACATGGCCAAGCTCATCTCTTAAAGACACAGTCAGGTCACGTCATTCCCTTGTTTTAAAACCTTCAGTGCCTTTGCATTGCTCTTAGAAAACAATCCTTCCCCTGGTGCGAGGAGGATCCTGTGTGCTGCTCCTTCCATGCCATTTCAGCCCCGCCCAGGGCTCTGGGCGCCCTGAGCTCCTGACCCCTCTGCCTGTGCTACTCACCTTTCACTGCCTCTGAGTGGCCTTTCCTGTTCTATGACCTCATTGAGCTCACTCTGCTCTCTCTCACAGCACGCGGTTCTCTCTGGGCACGGTGCTGTGACCATTTGTAACTGTATACCCTCTGCGGGTTGTTTCTGTCCCCCAGTGCAGACACAGTCATGATGACTGGCTTTGATTGCAACACTCACGAAGAGGATGGTAGCTGACCTTCTCAGCTGCCTTTGCTCCCCTTCCTCCTTTCGGTAGAACCCGAGTTCTGTTCAAGTCTCTATTTAACACTGCCTCAGGGAGTGGGGTTCTGACTGGCTTAGGCACAAACAAGAGATGTAATTCAGTTAAAAAAAAAATGAGCAAAGGACCTAAATAGACACTTCTCCAAAGTGAACATACAGATGGCCAAGAGATATATGAAAAAAAAAAATGCTCAAAGTTCCTGATCATCAGAGAGATGGAAATGAAAACGACCATGAGGTATCACCTCACACCTTTCAGGATGGCTGCCATCAAATGACAAGTACTGGTGAGGATGTGGAGAAAAGGGAACCCTAGTACACTGTTGGTGGAAATGCAGACTGGTACAGCATTATGGAAAACAATATGGAGTTTTTTCAAAAAATTAAATATGGAACTGCCATTTGACCCAGTGATCCCACTTCTAAGAATATATTCTAAGAAACAGGAAACATCACTCAGAAAGAATGTATGGCCGAAACCGGTTTGGCTCAGTGGTAGAGCGTCAGTCTGCGGACTGAAAGGTCCCAGGTTCGATTCCGGTCAAGGGCATGTACATTGGTTGTGGGCACATCCCCAGTAGGGGGTGTGCAAGAGGCAGCTGGTCAATGTTTCTCTTTCATCGACATTTCTAGCTCTCTATCTCTCTCCCTTCCTCTCTGTAAAAAATCAATAAAATATTTTTTTTAAAAAGAATGTATGCATGCCTATGTTCATGCCTATGTTTACAATAGCTATGATCTGAAAACAACCCAAGTGCCCACCAGTAGAGAAATGAATAAAAAAGCTGTGGTATTTATACCATGGTATACTATGCAGCCATAAAAAAGAATGTCTTACCCTTTGAGATAGCCTGGAGGGAGCTGTAGAGTATTATGCTAAGTGAAATAAGCCAGTCAGAGAAAGACAAGTATCACATGATCTCACTCATATGTGGAATCTAATTATCAAAATAAACTGATGAATGGAGTGGATCCAGAGACATGGAAGCATGGAACAGAGTGCAGAATCTCAAAGGGAAAGTGAGGGCAGGTGAGTAGGTGGGAGGTGATCAACTAAAGAATGTGTATGCATACATGCATAACCCATGGACACAAATAATAGGGTAATGAAAACCTGGGGAAGGGGAAAGAGAGCAGGCTGGAGGGGGTCAATGGGGGAAAAAAGGAGGACATATGTAATACTTTCAACAATAAAGACTAAAAAGAAAGAAAGCAGAACACCTCAGCTCCTGCTTTGTTCCTGAGTTACATAGGGAATGAATATATAGACAGAGGGTGGTAAGAAATCTGAGAGCTTCTTTGAAGAAATTCCAGTTATCATATCCATATATTAAATCCCAAGAACCCAGCCACTTTGGAAGTCTGATCCCTAAAACCTTGTCAATCTCTGAAGTTCCATAAAGACTGGGACTAGATACCAGAAAGCCAGGATGCATGAGTAAGTGTGGTTCTAGTTTTCTAAAGGCGTGAATTCCAAAAAGGACATCAAAGACTTACAACTCATCCTTGGACAGAATTCTAAAGTATAGAATATTAAATAAAGGCACTCAGAAACAAAACGGGAACCGAGACCTTCAGGAACGAGCATGAGTTTCCTAAAGTTAAGTCAGGTCAAAGCAACTATTCTTTCTTAAAAAAAAAAAAAAAAAAAAAAAAAAAAATATATATATATATATATATATAAAATTGATTTTTTACAGTGTCCCTCCAGAGGAGAGCATTTGAGAGCCTTGCTCCAAGTGCCCCTAGGATTTCTGGGAGCCTCAGCTGCTCAGAGCCAGGGTTTGGAGGTGCCTCAGTGACTTCTGCCCCCATTCCTGCCCTTGAGTTCCATGGATATACTTAACCATCTGTGGTCCCCTCTTATCCTGTGCTTTACCCAAGGAAGCATTGTGGGGCAAGGAATCCTGGATTTAAACCCCGGCTCTGTCATGTACCCCTGAGTGAGCTTTCATAAGCCACTTCAGTTCTCAAGAGCCTCAGTTTCCTCATCTGAAAAACGGCTATAAGAACGGTGCCTAACTCGCTGGTGTATCCCAAGACTGAAATGAAATCTCTCTATATAAAAGCCTAAACCATTGTTATGACTAAAGGACCTAAAGACCAGTCACTATGTCATGCATTGAACACCAGGGAGAAGACCATCAACGTAGGAGCTGCCCCGCTGGCGGTCAGCCAACCTCCGGAGGTCCCTCTCCCTGGCCAGCCAACATCCTGCGACCGGTCTCTCTCCCATTGCTGGCCAACTTCTCACAGTCCCTCCCCGCACTGGCCAGCCCTGATCTGCCCCGATCGCCAGCCAGGCAGAGGGACCCCACCCATGCATGAATTTTTGCACCTCGCCTCTAGTGTTATATAAAAGTGCCAAGCAGCTGCTGAATGCAATGGGTGCTTTCGGA